TTTTATTGTAATTTGTCTTTTTAAATTATTTTGAGTTGATATTAAAATTTGGAAAAGGGGGATCCCTAGATCGGTAAAATAGGCGAATTTCCTTCTACAACTTCGGTTGTTGTTCGGGATACAGTTAAGGTTTTAACAAAGTTCGAGCGATTACGTAATTAGCAAAAAAAAAGTTGAAATAAAGTGATTAAACAAAAATTATTACAAATATCCCTAAATAATAAATGCATATATACAGATATTTTTTGGAGGGGGAAAATGGTCTTCACAATTTGAAATCAATCGAACACACAGTGCTCGAATGCTCGTATAAACGCGCACCATCTATCGTAGGATAAATGTACTATGCCAAAAACCTTTGCAGGAGTGTATTAAAAAACTTCCCAAAGCTTCATGGCAATCGTACTATGCCAGAAACCTTCGCGGGAGTATATTAAACAACTTCCCAAAGTTTCATGGCAATCGGATAAACGGTGTGGTAATGCATGAAGGACAGACAGACGAACAGACAGACAAACAGACAGACAGACAGACAGACATTCATTTTTATATATATAGATAATAACATTATTATTAACAAAACTAGGAGCAATAATAATTTAATATTAATTGAAATCATAGAAAATAGATCACCTAGGACTGTTACTTCAACATCAACTTGATCTGAGCCATGTTGATTAACAGCAACAATGGTATAAACAGCACTATCCTTTCTTTCAGCTTTATCACAGGTAAATTTGGAATTGTATGGAACATTTTTAATGGAAAGATTTAATCTCTCAACCACAGGTTTATCTTTAATTCTCCATGATACAGTTGGTGGAGGTTCTCCTATTATTTTCACATCAAATGCAAATGCTTGCCCAACCTTAACAGTAACATCTTTCACTGTTCTTCTATCAATTCTTGGTGCCACTAATTGTAATAATAATTTTGAAATTAAAAATGTATTATTATTTTTAAATAATTTAATAGTAAAACTAAAGCATATTTATATCACAAATGTATATTAAAAATGTGGAAATGAAAAAATTACAATAGTGTGTAAGTGATGTAATGAATAATAGGAGAGAAAGTTGTTAGAGGTTTTTCTACAGAAATTAAAGAATTAGATTAGAATTAAAAATAAAATTTTGAGATAAATAATTTCCTTTAACTTTTATGCTCTAATTCATATCTTGTTTAAATCATTCTGAAACATCTTTCCATACTTTATATTTACAAAATCACTATAAATAATTTCTTGTAAACAAACTTCATTACATATAATGATAGAAAAATTAATAAATAGAATTTTTTGTTATAACAAAAACAATTTGTTATTTATATTTATTGAAAATAACTTACTTTTAATTTATTAATGTAAAAAAAAAATAAATAAACTGATAATTACATTTTCTAGGTTTGGCAATTACTGGTTTTGTGGCATCGCTAGCTTCTCCTGGACCAGCAGCATTAACAGCACGAACACGGAACTGATATGATTCTCCTGGAATTAAATCTGGAACACGACCTTCAGACACATTTCCTTCTATTTGAGCTGCTTTAACCCATAAGCTACTATCTTTTTCTTTCTTTTCAATAATGTATCCAGTTATTGGTGATCCACCATCCTTGAAAGGTGGATTCCATTTAAGATCTACAAATTCTTTATCCCAGTCTTTTAATTCTGGTATTTCAGGCTTTCCAGGAGGATCTGTTCAATAAAATATGTAAACATTTTATTTAAAAAATTACATATCTACTTAAATATCCAATTAAAAATATAGTATAATATTTTCCTTGCTATTTCAAAACAACTAATTTGTAACATAAACACGTAAAAATGATGGCATTTAATTAACATTCAGAGCATATTTAGTTTATATTTAAATAAGTTATATATATTGAAAGTTTCTTTATACATGATCTTTGAATATAATATTTTAAATATAAATGGAAATTGTGTAATAGATTAATTAACCTTACCAAATGGATTTTTAGCTAAAACTGGTTTTTGATTTTCTAAAGGATCACTTTCACCTTCAGCATTTACAGCCTTAACTCTGAATTTATATTCTTGTCCTGTAAAAAAAGTAAAATAAAAATATAATTATAACAATATTTTTTTATTTCTTTTCAGCCTTCTATAAATGTTGTCACAGGAAATACATGATTGTTTTTTTAATTAACAACTTAACTGTTTGAAATGTATCAATTAAAATATTTGTAATTTTTATCCAGGAAAATAATATATTTTTACTTTCTTAATTATCAATTAGCAATTATTAATTTTCATTTTTTATTGCAAATGTATGATATCCATAATCTAATAGTGGATTATTATTAAATTTTAAATTTTTACATACTCATACAGAGTTTCCAATGGTTTTTGTTATGGATTTAAAAATTTCTAAGAAAATATTAAAATGATCTTATAACATATTGCCAATTACATGAAAGTTTAAAGATAAGTTAGGGCTAAAATTTCATATCTTTAAATTTAAGAGTATTTCTTTTAACATTCTTCAAACAAAAATAAATAAAAATTTATTATAAAATTTTACATTATATAAAATAAACTTGAAATTTTGTTACCAGGAACAAGACTTCCAACTTCTATTTCTGGTTTAGTTGTCCTACCAACAGGCACCCATCTACCAGTTTCAGTATCCATTTTTTCAACAGCATAATGTTCAACAGGTACACCACCATCATCTTCTGGAGGTTTCCATTTCAACTTGCATCCTTCAGCATGAACATTTGATATTTCTAAAGGACCACCAGGTATAGATGGTCTATCTACAAAAAAAAATTATCTATTCAGATTGTAACATTAAATACTAAATATTATATTACTAAGAAAGCAAATGATAATGTTTATTTTATCTAGCAGGTTAACTGCTGTATGGGAAATATAATTTATTCGTTTGTCATATAGTATTATTGGTTAGTTATATACAGTGGTACCTTGGTACTTGAACTTAATTCATTCTAGAAGGCTGTTTGAGTGCCAGTCTGTTTGGATACTGAACAAATTTTTCCCATAAGAAATAATGTAAATTAGATTAATCAATTCTAGAACTCCAAAAAATACACATATAAAAGCATTTTAGCTAAAATTTAACAAGAAGTTTACAAGCCTAGCAGGCATAAATCATATAAAACCTAATCAAAATAAATAGATAAAATATATGCAAATTTATTCTCACTTTACCTGTAACTTTAGAGAGTTGATGGCATATGTGGATGATGATAAGAAGGGAAGTGAGACATATTTTCAAAGGCTGACACATTTTCTTTGTTTCAACTGGGAATACCTGTATGTGATACAGAGTGGCAAAATATGCGTATTAATTTTACCAGTAATTTTGTCTGACAAGACAGGCAACTCTGTGGTTAATTTTAATTAGTTACTCATTTTTATCATAGAAAATTTTTCATGAGTGACAAAATTAAAGTAATAACAAATATTTTTGTTATTAATTGAAAATCTCTGATAGTTCATGTTTCTTCAGCTAAGTACCAAGCAAACAGTTGACTACCAAGCAATTTCCTCCCAGGCATACATTCAAATACTGAATTGTTCAAGTTGGGAGCAGGTCAAGGTACCAAGGTATTATGGTTTTGAGAAAATTTTAAATTTTAATGCAATTATTAAGTATAAAATTATAAAAGTTTAGACTTGTTTTATTTAGAGAATATAGTAATGGCATAAAAGCAGTTCAAACGTTTTCAGGATAATTTCTATAAATTAAGTATATCTAGTTGCTTTGAAATCGTTTTTAGAGTATAATCTTGCTTTTATTTTATAATTTGTGTCAGTACATTGTTCAGAATGAAAAAAGTCCTATTTAAGATCAATAATGTTATTATTTTATGTATATTTCACCCACAATTGCCGTAAATAATCGGGCTATAATTTTGGAATAATAATTATGAATTACAAATAAATTTGGCACTAGAGAGAGGTGTTAGGTGCCATCTTGTATTAAAATTAATAATTATAATATTTAATTAATTAATTTAGAATAAACTGAAAGAAAATGTTATAATTATAAACCAAAATCTTTGATACAATATTCTGTTCTGAATTCCAATTATCTGACTCCCAGGAACTCAAGTAACTATGCTATTTTTGACACATCATTTATTTTATCACTAGTATAATTGTATTTTATTCTGTATGTAAATTTATTATTAATTGTTACCTTAAAAATTGTATTTATGAAGTCAACTAATAAGGGAAAATACTTTTTGTGAGTTTTTATTGATATTGAAAGAAGATTAAAATATGTGTTTTAGATTAAAATTTCAAAAAAGATCCATATTTTATCGTAAATGATTAAAACTAATCAAGAATACAATTAAAAATATATTGAATAATAATTTATTATAAATAAAATGTTCAATTACTAATTTTTTTCTTCTTTTTCATGATAAAATATAAATTCATTTGTATTTTTCATAATGAAATGTACTAACATTTTTATAATTATTTTTTAATGAAGATAAATGAATTTAATTTACCTAATACTATTAACTGTACAGTGGCTTCATCTTTTCCTGAACTATTTTCAGCAGTAATTCGGTATGTCCCTTTATCTTTTCTTTCTGCAGAATGAACAATCAGTTTTGTTCGATATGGTTCAGCTTCAATGGTATGATGAGAACTTGGCTTGAGAGCAGTTCCTTCAAAAAGCCATGCTGTTTTTGGTGGTGGTTCACCAATGACCTTTACATCAAATTTAACACTTTGACCAACTCGGATAGTTACATCTTTCAAGCTAGAACGATCAATTTTGGGGGCCACTAAAAAATAAATATATTAATTTAAAACTGTATTTTTTACTTTTAAAATTTTATGATTTTGGAAAAATAAAAATGATAATATCAAGCTTACAAAATCTTGGTTTTGCAACAACTAAATCACTGTGATCACTGGGAGCACTTGGTCCAGCCTTGTTAATTGCTTTTACACGAAATTGGTATTCCATGCCTTCAATTAAGTCTGGAACTCTAGCTTCACATTTATCACCTATAACTTCAACTGCTTTTTGCCATTTGGTACTGTATTTATCTTTTTTCTCAATAATATAACTTGTAATAGGAGCACCCCCATCACTAGCAGGAGGTTTCCATGTAAGATCTACATGATGTTTGTCCCAGTCTTTAGGAGTTGGCTTTCCAGGTTTACCAGGCTCATCTTAAAATAATAAAATTCAAATATCTTACTATATGTATATATATATATATAATGTGCATATTAATATAAAACAAGTTTATTTAAATCAAAATTTAGATATACAATTATTTTTTCCATATTATGAAGAAGGATGGCTTAAATAATGCAGCATCTGACCTGCAATTTTTCATATCTTGATCAGTATAATTTTCTTCAGTGTCTTACCTATAATCTCTTTTCAATAAATATCTGGGGTAATTACCAGAATGTACAGACACTTAGGACATGTAACTGATCATCAAACCTCCTCCTTTTATGGTGAGAGATCATTCAGACTTAATTGGTCTGATTTTTATACCATATAACAGTAAATAACATTATTCTTCATAATGTACACCTTTAATGACTCAAATAAATATTTGTATGTTTTCTAATTATAAAAATGAACTATGCAATATACAGAATATAATACTATGAAAGTTTTAAAATCTCTACTAAGTCATATAAAATAACTAATTATCTCACACATAGTATGTTGACAAGTTAACAAATGTTTGTATTGCAAATAAATGGTGTAGAGAATTTTTATTTAAAAAGCCATCTTTTACTAATTTGTATAATTATAAAAACTAATAAATTTTTTATTTATCTTATTTGAATAATATCTTATAAGAAAATTACCATATGGATTCTTTGCTAAAGTTGGAACATCTGTTTCTAGTGGTTCCGATTCACCTTCAGGATTGACAGCCTTAACTCTAAATTTATATTCTTTTCCAGGTATAAGGCCACCAATTTCAGCTTGTGGCTCTTTGGTAACAGTAACAGGTACCCANCCAGGCTCATCTAATAAAAGAAGTAATTACTAAGTTAGCAAGAAAACTTTCCATGTTTCACAATATTGAAATTTTTATTTATTTAAAACTTATTATAATTTTTCATTATTTAATTTTAACATTTTAATTAATAATAATTTTAATTACCATATGGATTCTTTGCTAAAGTTGGAACATCTGTTTCTAGTGGTTCCGATTCACCTTCAGGATTGACAGCCTTAACTCTAAATTTATATTCTTTTCCAGGTATAAGGCCACCAATTTCAGCTTGTGGCTCTTTGGTAACAGTAACAGGTACCCATCTGCCACTCTCTGTATCCATTTTCTCAACAACATATTGTTGTATTGGTTCACCACCATCATCTTCAGGTTTATTCCATTTTAATTTACAACCTTCTGCAGTAACATCAGATACCTCAAGAGGACCTTGAGGTTTAGAAGGCTTACCTAAAAATATTACAGTTAAATGAAAATTAAATTATTTAATCATGATTTATTTTGAAATACATAAAGTAAAATAATATTTACTTAATACTGTCACTTCAACTGCAACTTCATCTTTTCCAGAACCATTTTTGGCACTTATGATATATTTTCCTGTATCTGATCTCTTTGCTTTCGTTAATAAAAATAATGTATGATATTCTTCTATTTCAATCTTAAATCTTTCATCTTTGATGGGATTTTCATTGAAAGCCCAAGCAATTTCTGGAGGAGGTTCGCCTTTAACATCAACATCAAACTTCACAGATTGTCCAGTACGAATTATTACATTTTTCAAATTAGTTCGATCAATATATGGAGCCACTAACAATTAAATATAAAAAACAACGTTAAAAGATTAACTACATATATTTAATGTAAATTATATTAGATAATAAAACATACAAAATCTAGGTTTAGCCACCACTGATTTGGATGGATCACTTGGTTCACTGGGTCCTGCTTTATTAACAGCAATAACTCTAAATTCATATTCATCCCCTTCCTCCAAATCAGGAACTGTTGCAGTAGTATTAGTACCACTAACTTCTTTAGCTTTCTGCCATTTGTAAGTTCCCTTCTTTCTTTTCTCAATGACATAACCAGTAATTGGTGCACCACCATCACTCTCAGGTTTGGTCCATTTAAGATCAACATGATCATTATCCCAATCAGTAAGTTCTGGTCTTCCAGGTTTACTTGGTTCATCTGTAATTAAAAAATATATATATATTATTTGCATTTGAATGAAATAAATATCAACTACAAAAAAGTTGTTTTTATATGTGTATTGAAATATATTTCTTTATATAAATAATAAATTATATTTCACTTTAAATATATAATTTTTAATAAAAAAATTTTGTGTATAGATAAAATTAAAACTATTTTAAATTATTAATATTTATGAATTGATTTATTTATTTATTATATAAAAATAAAAATATTCCAACTTTCAATTTCGTGTACTTAATTATTTCATGAGTTTTTCTTTATGATTTTCATTGTTTTCAATTCAGATAAAACTTTTTTATAATTTTAAAATAAGCAATATTAAAACATTTAGAATTAAATTTACCATATGGATTTTTAGCCAAAATAGCTTTATCAGCTTCAAGTTCTTCAGAGTCACCTTCTTTGTTGACAGCTCTTACTCTGAATTTATATTTTTTTCCAGGAACAAGATTATTTACATGGAATTTTGGTTCTGTAGATTTTCCAGCAGGCACCCACATGCCAGTTTCTTCATCCATTTTTTCTATTTCATAACACTCAATTGGAGTACCACCATCATCATCTGGAGCTTTCCATTTTAGAGTACAACCTTCTTTATGTACATCTGATATCTCCAGAGGTCCATTTGGTCTTGTAGGCTTTCCTATTGTCAAGCAAATTTAATGAATATATAAAAAATAACATTACAAGAATTTTTAATGCACAAAAATAGATACCTAAAACAGTTATTTCAATCTGAGCTTCATCACTTCCCGAACTATTAGTTGCAGTAATTGTATATATTCCACTTTCTTTTCTGGTTGCTCGAAGTATTGAAAATTTTGTGTTATAATCAATGTTATCTATCCTATAAACTTGTCCACTTTCTAAATTTGCATTATTTAATTTCCAAACAACAGCAGGTGGTGGTTCACCAATTATATCCACATCTAAATTAACAGTTTGGCCAACTTTGACAACAATACTTTTGAGATTTGTACGATCAATTCTTGGTTTCACTGAAATTTCATTAAATTTCTTTAACTTACAATTGTATTAAGTACTATAATTTATTTATTATTTATATATTTTACAAATATAAATTATAATATATATTAACCAGTATAATAGCATTAATAAATATTTAAAATCATTAATGTCTTCTTAACAAGTTGTAAAAAATGAAAGTACTTACAGAATTTTGGTTTGGCTAAATGAGGAGATGTCGGTTCACTTGGTTCACCAGCACCAGCTTTATTTAATGCTCTCACACGGAATTCATATTTATCACCTTCATTCAATCCTTTTACTTTTCCCTGAGGAATATTTCCATGAATTTCAGCTGCTGGAGTCCATTCATTGCTATATTTATCTCTCTTTTCAATAATATAACCATTGATTGGTGCTCCACCATCTCTGATCGGTGGATCCCATTTGAGTTGGACAAAATCAGTATCATAGTCAGTGACTTCAGGTAATCCAGGAGGTCCAGGCTCATCTAATAAAAGAAGTAATTACTAAGTTAGCAAGAAAACTTTCCATGTTTCACAATATTGAAATTTTTATTTATTTAAAACTTATTATAATTTTTCATTATTTAATTTTAACATTTTAATTAATAATAATTTTAATTACCATATGGATTTTTGGCTAATGTTGCTTTTTCTGTTTCTAAAGGTTCTGAATCTCCTTCCTCATTAAGTGCTTTTACACGGAATTGATATTTCTTTCCAGGTTCTAATCCAGTAACTGTCATTTCTGGTTTATTTGGATCAGCTTTACCAACAGGAACCCAACGACCAGTACTAGGATCTAATTTTTCAACTTGGTAACCACTAATTGGTAATCCTCCATCATCTTTTGGTTTATTCCAAGCTAATTTACAACCATTTGCATGTACATCACTAACTTCTAAAGGTCCTTCAGGCCTAGAAGGTTTATCTGCAAAAAACCACATTTCCATTTATTTTAATTATTTAAACTTTTTAAAGATATTTTTCAGATGCTAGTTGTAATGATTAATTTCTTTATGTAAAAAATTTTACCAAGAACAACTATTTCTACAGTTTCTTCATCTTTTCCTGAACTATTCACAGCTGTTATTTTATATTTTCCAGAATGTTTTCTTGTAGCATTTACTATGCGTAGATGAGATAAATAATCCTCATTTTCAACTTTGACTGCTCCAGTTCCATCAATTGGTTTATTCGCAAATGACCAGGTTACTGTAGGTGGTGGTTCTCCAATAATTTCTACATCAAGTTTTGGTGATTGTCCAGCTCTGACCGTAATTGTTTCCAAATTGTCTCTGACAATTTTTGGTGCCACTAAAATGAAATTTTTAGATTTTAGTTAGATTATTATTAAATTGAATTTAAAATTTTGCATAAGAAAAAACATAAACTTACAGTATCTTTCTTTAACAATATGTGACTTAGTTGGTTCACTTGGTTCACCTGGACCTGCTTTATTCACAGCTCGAACTCTAAACTGATATTGTTGGCCTTTAGTCAAATCAGAAAGTGTGCATTCTGGCTTGGGACTATTAGTATTTAAGCATGGTTCCCAACTAGCACCAAATCGTTCTTTCTTCTCTATGATATAGCCTGTAATGGGTGCACCTCCATCTTTCTTTGGTGGCTCCCATTTAAGATCAACTTTCTTTTCATCCCAATCTACAATTTCTGGTAAACTTGGTGGTCCTGGTTCATCTAGTAATTAGAAAAATATGTATTAGTAAAAAATTTTATAGGAAAAAGTTATTTTAATATTAATTATATATACCATATGGATTCTTGGCTAAGGTAGCTCTATCAGTTGTTAATGGTTCTGATTCGCCTTCAGGATTTACTGCTTTAACACGGAATTGATATTCTTTACCAGGTGTTAATCCAGTAACATCATATTCAGGTTTATCACTATCAGTACGTCCTACAGGTACCCAATTTCCTGTAGAAGTATCCAGTTTTTCAACAACATAATGGCTAATTGGTTTTCCTCCATCATCTTCAGGTTTCTTCCATTTTAGTTTGCAGCCTTTGGCATTGACATCTTCAACTTTCAATGGGCCACCTGGCCTTGTTGGTGCTCCTAAATTAATTTAAAATAATAAATTTTATTGTAAATTAATATATAACTTATTTATTTATGTTTTATTCAAAACTGCACAGAGGGTGATAAAATTATCTAATGTTAATCTAACATTTTTTTATCTTATATTAGCATTTAATTATATAAAATATTCTTACATGATGATTAAAATTAATCCAACAGATGAAATATTTTTTTGAAGAATTTATTATAATAATGGAATTTAATAGTTTACAATAAAATTCTACAGATATAAACTGTTGCTGATATTTCTAATTTAGAAGTGTTAGTTTTATTATTTTGTGTGTTTGTAGAATGCTTAAAAGTATAGGAAAAATGTAGTGAAATATTCATATAAGTGAATTTATCATTTATTTGTTATTATGAAGTATTTAAAATTAATCATTCAATAATAAATAATCTTAATTTTATTTTGATAAAAGTAGGGAAATTCAACTGATGTGCCACTTGAAAAATCTTTTTAAATGTACAGTATATCAAAAGTTAAAATTTCACAACCAGCAATAAGACAAATTATAGTAAGAAAATAAAAATAAAGAAGTTATTAACATAAACATAAAATATAGAATAAAATAAAAAACTTTGCAAGAACAAGGAGGAAAACTGTTGAACAATACAAAAAAAACTGAAAAGTAAGCTCTTCCAACTTAAATAGAAAAAATATTAGTTATGATTGTAATTTACTAGAATCTAATTTTTTTGTATAAGAAAAAATTTTGATTCTGTAATATTTTATCTTATCTTGTTAACAATATCTTGATATTGTTCACAGTAGTTAGAGAAAAATTTCTGTAGAAATGTATTAAATCAAAACTGAAGTAACGATTACATTTCCTTCAACTTTACAACAATATATAGTGTGGTTGTGTTTCATGCTGGGTTTGTTTATCAGCAGGCACCACATAAAATGAAATTCTATATAAATTTGTGATTTATCCCAAGTTATTCCATATAATTGCCTAGATACTTATACTGTACAACTATTTACAATTAACAGAAAAATATTAAATGTAGTAAATACATTTTATTTATGTTTTTACTATAATTAATAACACTTTAATCCAATATTTCTGAATATACAGAGCAAAAGTTTATTATACTATATGACATACACTGCTTGAGAAAAATACAAACAAACTAAGGTATTATCATAGTGGGCAATCTTTAGTAGTTCTCCATGTTAGAAGCTGGAGAAGCACAGTTTGATGACTTAAAAGTCAGATTCAGTAGCAGTATTAAAGGATACTGTATTGTAGTGCTACACTACTATTCTTTGTATTTATGTGTGTTGCTTTTTATTTATGTACCTGTTTTTCCTTTTATTTTGTATCGGGTGTTACTTTATGTGTGTTAATTCGCGTGGTGTTATCTTTTCCATGTGGACCTTATGGGAGCCCGCTGATTGGGCAAGTAGTGTCATGTGTGTAAAAACATACTTCCAGATGGTGGGAGATATAAAAATCGTGGGTTGACACCTGTGAGATCCAACCTCAGAATAAGCCCAAATTGTTCATTTTCCCCCCTAAATTTTCGACGTATTTGAAATAAATTTGTCGCCTCCTCGTTACAATAACATTCTCTGAAAAAAGAATCAAATATCGATCGCAACTTATAACTTTCATCGTTAATATAAACATTTAACCCTCAAACAATGACATTCCTCTGCTGCAAGACAAAAAGTTTATAGTTAAAGTCCGAATTCGTCATTTTGTTTTGGTCCCGGGAACAACTTTAACCTCCACACCTGCAGGACCAACTCTACCTCACACAATAGGAGATCACCTGACTAATTTCCCCTACCCGAAGCTATAAAAGCGATTTCTTTCCCCCTCCTCGGGGAGTCTCACATCAACGGTATGAAAGGATTAAGTCTCCAGAAATTTTTACTTTGTGCGTCGAACTCTGTGCCTACGTTGAATCTACTAGAGGTATGGAACAAATAATTGTAAACTCTCTCCGCGAGTTAGGAGCTAGTGAACTAAATTCATTTCCCCAGATGTTAGATTTTGTATTCTTTAATTTTTTTTTCTTTTCATTAATCTAATAAATCGTTGTTTCCATTGTTAAATGGTGTCCTTTTACTCTCATATCGCCTATGCCTCGTCGACCCCTCTCACCTCCTCCACTCGACCTGACAAAAAGAATCCCAACCCTTCGGGACAGCATTCGAAATTTAGCCATCTTGACAAGTGAGCAGGTTTAACGACCTGTAGCCGAAAAGGGAGAGTCTATGGTTCCCGACCTCCCCGGCTGTTCACACACCTAAAAGGACTTTTTCTTTTTTCCGTCTATCTGGCTTGGAACTGTTTATGTAGGACAGGGGTTGCCAAAGTGGTCGATATGGACCCCCAGAGGTCGATGCAGCATCATTGGGGGGTTGATGCGGCTAGGGGGTCGATGTGGCGAAGGGGCCCCAAAACCTTTTTTTTTGACCACAACCCACAACGTTATTTTTTTTTTCGCTCATACATATACACTTGTAATAAAACTTTACGGTGGGGTTCAATGTGAGGCTTTGGAAAGTGATTGGGGGTCGATGGTTAAAAAAGTTTGGAGACATGGAGACTAATGAAGGGACTTATCAAACAGTCTGAAGAAATCCATGCCCATCCATTTGGACAAACAGAATTCAGCAAAAACTGTGCTTGAAATGTGTGAAGGAGTCCCCATGTTCGTTATTCAGACTATTATTTTTTTTATATACAGTCGACCCCCCTATAATGTGCGTTCCTATAACGGAAATTCCTATAACATAGCAAAAAAATTGTAGCAACATTCGTATAAAGGAACTCCTAAAACGTCGTCGCCGACTCGTTTCACGACAAGATTGATAGAATCTGGACCAATAGTGGATGAGCAGCCGAACTACTTTCCTCCGCCCTGCGCCACACTACAAAGCGGCTAAATTGAGTTTGCTATCATCTATACAGTATTATATATAAATTAGGTACTGTATATATAATTATATATTAACTTAATTTATTGTAACTTTATTATAATTATATATATGCTTTCTGCCGCCTGGCAACACGCTAC